TTTTTTTTTTTTTTTTTTTTTTTTCTTTTTCTTTCACAATTAAAAAAAAATAAAAAGGCACAAAACAAACCCCAGCTTATTACACATAAATAGGCTACAAAGATTGTCTGCTGTGCTTTATATAAAAACCCTTAAGTGTTCAAAGTGTCAGCTTCTATCAAGCACATAAAGTCCTAACAGATCTGGAGCCTTCTCACCACTCTCCATCTAACAGTTGAGCAGCTGTAACACACACAAGCTCTGAAGCCAGAAGGCTCCTGTTTTGAGAGTGAATTTCTGGGAAACCATCTCAGCGGTGCACTCTGTCTCTGGGCAGCCACTCCGAACCCAGCCCTCCACCGCAGTCCATCCCGCAGGGCTGGCCCAGACCTGCACTGAGCACAACCAGAAAGTTAGCAAGCTAACCAGGACAGCCCACAGTTCAAAGGCCTTTATGTTTTCTAATTTAATCATTTAAAAAATAATTAAAAAAAAAAATAAATCTGTAAATACACTGGAAACTCCAGGTGAAATTGCTGCCTTCACTGAAGATTTTATTTTAGATTATTTTAGATGTGAACTACCCCCAGGCTCAAACACAGTTGTCCAGGACTGGCTAAAGCTCCAATCTTTCCACTTTCCCTTGTGGACACTTCAACAGTGAAATGACAGTAAAGAGACATGCACAGCTTCAATCCCTGCCATCTCTGGCTAGGACGCAGAGCTAGAGGCAGTGACGCACAATGCTTCTCTCTCAGCTTTGCTTGTGGTTCTCTGAGCAAGCCTGCCTAAAAACAACCAATACGTGGTCCCAACCTTCCTCTGCTGAAAAGGAAAGAACAAACCCTTTTGTGCATGGACTTCAAAAATCAGGCCAAATAAGCTTAATTACAAGCAACTCCTTCTTATAAGAAGACCACTTCCCCCGCCTTTGGCACCAGTGTCTTCAAATACACCATATAAGACAGGGAACATAACAGCTCAAAGCAAGTAACAAACTAAATCTAGAGGACTTTTTAAGCTACACGTTTTTCTACCAGCCCTAAAACTGCATGGCCACTCTTTTCCTGCCTGTGATGGCTTAGAGTAGAACATGCCTCCTCATATCAGTAAAATTTGGCACGATCATTGTAGTTGGTCAAAATATATCTGCTTGATATTCTACACTCTGCACGCTCCACTGAAATCATGATAGCTTCATCAATCTAGAAATGCAAGGAAAAAAATTACGCTTTTATGTCACGCTAGTAGAGCAGTATTATAGCAAAACACTGTTGGTTTTCACCTTCCCTCTTCTGAATTTTCAGACTCTTCAGATTGGTCCCTGATCACCAGTTCGACAAGAACTTTTTGCAATTTTTTTTTTTGACAGAGTTTACAACAAAGAGACAAGTGAAAAAAAGCTGCAGTCTGTCCATCAAGTTTGCTCCTTCCCATTTACATTTACTTTCCCAACACTGATGGTTCTCAGATCTCTAAAGGTGCACTTTGGACATCTTAAATCTTGTTCAGCTACAGAGTGTCATCACCTTCAAACAACTCTCATCAAATAAATCTCTTATTAATTCACATCAAATTAATTCAAAACGATCTTTTCTATTACCATATGCTTAAGAACACAGCACTTAGTAGTAGTTATCTAGCTACTGGAATACATCTAACCTTTTCTATGGGTATAAAACAGACACTTGGTCATTTCAGGGAGATTATGAGTGGCATTTCAAAACAGATTGTTTAAGACTACTTCCAGGCACCTGTTTCATTTTAAGCTCACTACTGAGGTAATCATGCAGACACTTTCAGGAGAAGTCAAAAGGTGATTTGTCTGAAGACACAACATGAGGTGGAATATTATGGTATCTTGCATCCAAAATGAAAAATTCTAAAACTGCTTTTATTTGAGGGTGCCTGAGCACATCGGTTTGCTGCTCTGCATTTCTTACTAGTCTGCTGCAGAGAGCTCGCTCCTACCAGACCTCCACTGCCACCCATCCAAGATGGGAGAGCCCAAGAAGGTAAAGATATGCTTTGCCCTGGCTTCCAAAAATATTCTGTAAACATGACACCCATTTAAATCTCAACAAAGCCTGTGAAACAGGAAAATTAGTATCACTACTGTTTTATGGAAAAATATCTATTGAGAAATGCAAAAATCAAGGTGTTCAAGGTGACATGCAGGCAAGGCTCTTACCCAGTAACTGAATCTGGTTTCTCTTGATGTCCAGGCCCATATCCCTCTCTTGTATGTATTTCAGTAGAGTATGTCACCCTAGCGCTTGGCAAAAGGCCAAGATCCTGTAATTTAGTAAGGTACAGAAAAAGCACCTCGTGCAAAAGTCTAAATGCTCCGATTTATCATGAGAGTTATGGGGTAAGATAACATTTTATTTGTATGAAAATTAGTCTCCAAAACAGCATAAAAAGGCCACACTTTCAGAGAATATTGTTCTTTGCTTCTCTGTTCTGCATTTATCTAAACTCAGCTTTGTGTATTAAAAGTAGTTTAATTTTTATGTACTGATGCTGTTTTGCATGCTCCCCAATCTGTTGTTACTGCACCAGAGAGAATCCAGGCTGATTTGCTTACTGCAATAAAACAACTGACTTCTGCCAGGACTGACACCTCCTACGGGAGCCCTGCCATCCTCACTGAATCTTCTGGTTATTCTATTAATTTGCTGTCGTTACACTTTATAGGATTGTAGAACATTCCCTGTTAGATGAGACCAGAGGTCCATTTAGTCTAGTGTTCTGCCTTGGAAAATGGCCAATACCAGATCCTTCAAAGAAGGTTCAACTGCCATCAGACAGATACAGAATCACCTAGCTCTGTGAAAAATAAATCGCTCCTAATCTTCAACACTTAGACAGTGACTTACTTTCTGAAGAGCAATAGGGTTTATAGCCCTTAATTATCTCTCACATTCCAGAATTTGTTGTTAACTAAGTCTGTATACCCCCACTTCCAACAAAAATGTCCAATATCTATCTGAACATTAGAACAATCCTGGTATCACCGATATCTTGTAGCTCTCACTTTACAATCTAATTACAAACTAAAAAAAAAAAAAGTAAATATTTTAAGCATTTTGAA